TATTTTTCATTTTCACATTTTACTTGCCACTTCATGATTGGTAATTTGTAGGATACATGAAGTAAATATTCAAATAACCGTATTCGAGCATGTAAAATTGATAAACCTAATTCCAGTGATTTCGGATTGACTTCGTTTTTTATTATTAAATTATTTAATTGTCTACCAGTAGCTCCACAAATGTAGCATCTCATTGTTGAAGAAGTGTTTGTAACAGCATTGCATATTTTACCATCAAGCATAGTGAATATTAAATTATGTTTGACGGATATGGATCTATTATTTTCTGCAATTTTCGTTTCTTGTAAACTCCTTATCTTCGTTTGTATATAATTGACTTCTTCATTTATAATATCAACAGTTTCCTTCACGAATCTTATTCTTATTGGCCTGCAATATCTCGGGGATGATGGTACCGGATTTTGCCAAACAACTCCTTTATCAGTGGAATTGATTAATTGCAATGGTACTAACGAACATTGAAATATATTCGCATCAGTATCGGAGCTATTTTCAAATTTCTGTTTATATAATGACTGCTGTGAACCGTCACACCCCCATTTACTTATCAATTCAAATGTATTGCTATCATTTAAATTACTTACTACCTCTTTTAAATATAGTAATAAGCGGGTTGCCGTATGGTTTAATAAATTTTGTAAGTTTACCTCTGCACAAGTCGTGGTTATAGTATAGGATTCTGGAGGAGGATAGCATTCCTTTTTAAATTTTTGAATAATAGAATATCAGGGGAATAATTTTTTGTCACTACTTCTAATCACATCATAGTCATCCCTAGATAATCCTGCTTCCACAAAAATTGAGAAAGCTTTTAACTTTGGTAACTGTTTTCTTTCTTCATGTTCACTATTTAAAAGTTTCCTGCATTTGGCTGCAAACGTAGGAGATTTTACAATCTCTTTCAATATTATTGCAGCATCCAGCAAGCCGGACGATCTTAGTTTCACTTCCGTGGCGAACACTAATTCTTCTAAACTTACATTTTCTCGAAGTTCTTCCGTTTTCTTTTGTTTGGCACGTTCACATGATAGCGAGAAAGATTTTGTTGGTCGCCCTACTTGAAATTTTGCAATAGGTATCTCCACTGTTCCTTCAAGCCAATTTCTATTCTTTATTTTGAAAGCCTCCTCCATATATTTGGCTAATAACCATCTGCGTCTAAATTCTGATTTTAAATATGAGATTTTATGCTTAAACTGTTGTTGTTCACTTTTGGAATAACTATTTTGGCTCAATAAAAAATTTTCAAGAAATTGTAGTTTTTCGTTAATGTTTAAATTTCTCTGTTCTTGCATTAAATTAAATAATTGTATCCGTGTGATCATCTTTATTTTAGATTTTCTAAATGTCGAAAATAATTAATATGACGAAGTGTGAAATATGTTCGTACTTACCAAATGTTATAAAACAATTTATACAACGACTTCGTTTAGAAAACGAAATATTAGATATAATAAATATATCTAACATACACTTAATATTACTATTACACAAACAACTATATAATACACTATACAACACGCTAAACTGTATAATTAAATATGAATATACTACACTGCTAAAACTATATTAAACAAAACTTAAATATGATAAAAACGGAAAACAGTAATACGTAGTTATAAATGCTTTGAATCGTTTGTCGAATGTGTTGTCTCAGAAGACACTGCTAGAACCGACTGAAGGCATAAAACAAAAACCTTCTTCCACTGATTATTGCGTAGCTTCATTTTGTTCTTTATAAACATTTAACAGAAACAGAAGAGTCGAATATTATACCTTAAGGGGACCCGGCCGCGTCCGCGGCTGCAACAACTGACGCGAGGCAGAAAGAAAAGAAGGAGTTCACTTCTATCTAAATTGTCTATAAAATCGAAATCTGGACGAATCTGGAATAAACCTTTATTGATCTTTAATCACAAACCTTCACGGAATAAAATGACACAAGAAAGAGTACCGGGACTCACCCTGAACCATAACAAAATGATTAATAAAGTCTTGGAATTAGAAAAATAATTATTGATCTATTGAATATCATAAAATATTAATAACTATTAAAAAATATATGGAGAAGGAATCACAACTGTATTAAAGTGTAGCATATACTTTTCTCAAAATATAAGAAAAGTGAAAAATCAGATAAAGTTATTTCAAATACTAGAAAATCTTTAGTAAGTAAATGATACTTCAGCAAATAGAAAAGAAATAAACTGTTACCATAAAATTTTCTGATTTCTAACGAAGTACACTCTTTTATGAATGCATAAATGAACAAATCAGTTATGGTACGGTATTCTATCCGTATTTCACTATCTTATACAACAAAAATAATGTGGTTTACACTAAGTTTTAAAAAATGACTTTTTTCCGGCTTTTCGGTACAAATACCCCACTGTGCGGCGACTCGAAAGCCAACTGCCGACTAAAGGCCCGAAAGCGAGTTCGCCGACCAAAGGCTCAAAAGCGATATACCGCTTCCGCACACGTGTTACTGTAAATATCTTTACAGTTCTTTGATGAATAAAAAATTGTTGCTCAATTTTAGGCACCTTTTTTTCTTTAGGGCAGTGATAAAGTTCATTAAAACCTGAGCGTTTGCATACTGTGACATCAAACAATTTTTCAGCTTCTTGTTTGAATACTGCAATTCTAGCTTTTACAGTTTGACTTTCATTCTCTTGTTTAATCACATCTGTAATACTAAAGTACTTTTTGTGATACGATTGTATCATCGCAATAATACGCTGTCGAGAAACGGTGGGGATAGATGCTACCTCATAGATCTGTTCAAGCTTTGTAGCAACTCTCTCTACAATAGCTGAGAAATGTGGTTCCCTATTACCACCTGATTCAAAACCTATAACCCATCGTTCGTGTAAACAACAAGAAATTACATCCTTGTATATTGGGAGGACACGTTGAGAACTGAAATCAGTTGGAGGACCAAAAAAGGGGCAATTTACAGTTCGCCTGAAGGCAAATTTTGACGATTTGCTGAGACTCATTGTTTACGCTGTGATGGCAGACGCAATTCAGCACTCCAAAAACGTCTTCAGACAAAAGCAGGACTAAGACTGACGTTGGCTGAGGGTAGAAGAACTACGCTGACAAGTGACACAGTTAAGGAGGTACTGTCATTTGCTGAGAAGATTGCGTCCAAAGAGCAGACAGGCAAGAGCTGGTGTCGACGTTTGCACTTCGCTCGCATTGGCTCGCACCGCTTGTGTCTCGTTCGCTCTCTTCGCTTATCGGTTCCTTCTTAATTAAAGCACGTGGTTCGTTTCCACGAATTATGTGCGTGCGTTTCGCAGGCCCACCCCTACAATCACGGATATACATATTCAAAATAACTGAACACGTTCTCCGTAACAATAACAATAACAATTTGTACTTTTTTGGAACGCAAGGCGTACAAGTCTTTGTTGTAAAATGCAAGGAGTCTAAATCTTTCTCTTTTGATGCTTATTCACTGAGTTCTCACAAAGCAGTGTCCTAGCTTTTTCGGGAGCACGCGCTTTCGCCATGCTGCGCTGCGCGCGCAGCCTTACGGTGGATTCGCAACTTGTCGTGAAAATGCTCCCATATATTCTCGTGCGGACGAGACCATAAGTCTCGACCCCACAGTACCCCCCCCCCGAGTAACAGCGCTCTTTGGTTTATTTATTTGCTTTGATTACAATATTTGGTTTACAATTTACTTACATCTACTTAGATCTACTTATTTATTAAATTGCACGCGTTTCTTATTGATGTACGTCTTTAATTTATTTGGCGTACCTACTCGCGGAAGGCGCGGACTCTACTTGTAACCTTTCGGTTACTGTGGGCGGTTGCTCTTCAATATTCTCAGGCGTGAAAAACGTGGGTTTTAACCGCTCTACAGATACATTCTGCGCCACCCCGTTAATCTCTATTTGGTAAACTTGGTCCGGTAACTTTTCTAAAATTCTGTGTGGCCCGTCCACGCGTAAAAATACATGTGTACATTCACGTAGTTCTTTAAATCTAAATACACGTTTTTTATTTCTATGTACCACTGGTACTGGCCTTACTGCCCGCATGTACACTCCCAGCCACATGTGTGCTATCTTTAATTTCTCACTGACACACGTACAATTTTGGGTTTGTAACACATAATATAGTAAGCTTACGAGCTCAGAACATGCGGATCGCTGCAAAGATGTCGCAGCATCACGGCGTTTTGTTTACAAAACAGAAACAGTGTTGTATACGAAGGACGAAATGATAGCACACTTATAAAGTAATAAACATTTATTTAATTTATTATCAATCTATATAATTATTCATTAATTGTTTAATAATGAGTACATCCTCCTTTATTTTCTATGATTTCAATCATTCTATTTGGTAACGACTTATATAATTTTTGAATATTTTCTTGATTTAAATTGCTCCATTCCGCGACAATAGCTTCTTTTAGTTCGTTGACATTCTCGTATTGTTTCCCATGTTTGTAAACTGTTTGACTGAGTTGACTCCAATAATTTTCGATAATATTAATATCCGGTGAGCGCGCAGGCCATGATAAAACACGTATCCTTTCTTTTTCAAAATAGGTTTTTACAAGTGTTGCAGTATGTACCGCTGCATTATACTGCTGATAAATGAATCTAGCCCCAGATATACGTAGGGCATGCTTTGTTATTTGTTGCTTTATCAAATCCAAATAATATTTACTGTTCATTTTTCCATGAATAAATTTTATTTCCGTCTTACCGAAGTAACCGATGGCCGCCCACACCATTACTCCACCACGGCCCATTGCTCGCCGAATTTTTGACAATTTTTCTTTTCTTAGATCGTGGAAATAATAGTTAAAACCATCAGGTCTATCTATATTAATTTTTTTTTGTCGGAAAATATCACTTTTCGCCACTTCTTCTTCCAGTGTATTCGATCTTTGGCAAATTGTAAACGTTCTTGTTTGTGCCGTGGAGTTAATGCAGGTTTCTTTTTTATTGTTAGTCTTCTAATGTGCTTGCATGATTGTAATACACGACGAACACTTGAAACACTTGCATTGACGCCAGCCTTTTGCATGATTTGTTTTGTTGTACACTAGGTATTGGAAGCTATACGCAAAACAGTTCGTTTATCCCGTTGTGACAACGATGATGGTCTTCCACTACTCTTCTTTTTACCATAATTTTCCACGTTTTTAAGTAAATTATAAATTACCTTTCGACTTCTGCTAGTTATTTTCGAAATTTTAGATACTGATAAATTTTGCCTTTTCAGTTCAAGAATATGCTTTATTTCTCATGTCGTTAATTTTTCCCCCCGTCCCATTCTTGTAAATTACTAGGCAATACTTTAGCGTCTTGAATACCTAAGAGATCGCGAAATACTGAGCAGTTCATAAACATGTAGACGGAGTGTGCTATCATTTCGTTCCTAGAATACAACACTGTTTCTGTTTTGTAAACAAAACGCCGTGATGCCGCGACCTCTTTGCAACGATCCGCATGTTCTGAGCTCGTAAGCTTATTACACTGCGGAGCATAACTATAGCACCACTAACATTTTTAACATTTCCGACCTGTAAGAAAATAATTTGAAACAACCAATTATATGGTATGAAAAAGCATTGTAAATAATGGATTTTAGGTGAAATTCATTGAAGTTGTCTACTTATATGTCAAGATTTAATCGATAAACGTTTGACGATCGGTGCAAAACAATAGAACCAGTTCATTTTTAACGCACTTCAAGGGTTTCTGTTGGAATTTTTTTAGTAAACTCGGGAATTCTTAGTTAATTAATACAATGCCATGTGGTACCTTAATGAACAAGAGCAAGGTGCAATTTCAGCGTACAGAGAGCAAAAAATGGGGATACGTGAAATCGCACGTAAACTCGGGCGATCTCATAAAGTTGTACTGAATTTTTTACGCGATCCTACTAAGTATGGGAAAAATAAGAAAGAGGGACCTAAGAAGAAGTTATCCCTTCGTACTGAAAGGCAAATTGCTAAAGTTGCGTGCAATTCGTTAAAAAGCTGTAAACAAATTGTGAAGGAATGTGATCTCGGCGTTTCTCGTTGGACTGTCCAACGTGTCCTTAAACATAATTCAAACATTATAAGACAAAAAATGATGTCTGCACCTACACTTCTAAAACGTCACGAAATAATCAGGCTTGAATACGCACGAGAAAACATGAGCAGCAATTGGAATAATGTAAGTTAAGTTTAGACATTCATAAATCGAGATTTTAGCTTCATATTCAATATTCTTTACTCAACTTAGGTTATTTTTTCTGACGAAAAAAAATTCAATTTGGACGGTCCAGATGGATTTAATTCATATTGGAGGGACCTTCGTAAAGAACAAAAATACTTTTCGAAACGTAATTTCGGTTGAGGGACACTTATCGTGTGGGATGCATTCTGCTCCTGTGGCAAGCTCAGATTAGCTTTTCCAACTACACGAATGAATAGTGCGGAGTATATTAGAATACTCGAAAATCATTTATTGCCTTTTATTCATGCAAACAATCACATTTCATGGACTTATCAACAAGATAATGCTCCAATCCATAAAAGCCGACAAACCACAGCATGGTTTGAAACGTTTGATGTCAATGTATTGAAATGGTCTGCATGCTCCCCAGACCAAAATCCAATTGAAAACATATGGGGTATCATGGTGCGGCATATTTATGGAAATAATCGACAATTTTCGAACATTTCGGAGCTAAAAACAGCAGTTATTGAAGCGTGGAATCAAATTAGTGAAGAAACTTTAAAAAAACTCATTACAAGTATGAACAATCGTATTTTTGAATTAATACATAAAAAAGGAGGTCCCACTCATTATTAAAACTGCTCACTTTAATAAACTAAATTAGAAATTTAACACGTTATAGCCATTTAACCTTATTATTGCACCATTGCAATATTTCATTTATTATTATACTTCATGTTAAATAAATGTTATTTTTGTATTTTTTCCATTAATTAACTTTTCACGTGGTATTATTAACATTTAAAAATCATTAGTTACAACTACAAAACTCTTGAAAATTATAGTGGCGCTATAATTATGCTCCACAGTGTATATTATGCGTTACAAACCCAAAATTGTACGTTTGTCAGTGAGAAATTAAAGATAGCACACATGTGCCATCTTTATGGCTGGGAGTGTATTCTCTGAATTCCCCGAGGAACATCTCCGGGTCTGGGGTGAAGTCACCCTCTAAGACGAATTCCCCCGGGATGCGCATTGTCGTACCGAACATGAATTCCGCGGGCGACGCGTTGGTATCTAACCGTACCCGCGCACGCAACCCTAGCAATATCGTCGGAAGTTTCCGTGACCAATTTGTCTCACACTCGTGGCACATGAACGCCGCTTTCAGGTCTCGGTGCCACCGCTCGATCATCCCGTTGGATGCCGGGTGATATGCGGTCGTTCACGTTCGTTGGCACCCGATGAGCGACAGTAACGACGCAAAGAATTGCGACTCAAACTGTGTCCCCTGGTCAGTTGTCACTATCTTGGGTGCTCCATAACGAGACACCCAGGTATCAAAAAATGCTTTCACCATCGTTGGCGCCCCTATTTCACGTAACGGCACGGCTTCAGGCCATCGGGAGAACCGGTCGATCATCGTCAATATACAGGGTGTTCGGCCACCTCTAGCAAAAATTTTAATGAGCGATAGTAGAGGCCAAAATAAGACGAAAATCAAGAATACTAATTTGTTGATGGAAGCTTCGTTAAAAAGTTATTAACAATTAAATTCAAAAATTTCAAATCGTTCTGGAAAAATTATTTTCGGTTGCGGGGGTCAATTACAATCAGTTTTTGTCATTAGACATACCCACGAAATCCTGCCCACTTTCGAGAAAAAAAATATAGAAGATGTGAAATTATTCGAGAAAATTAAAAAATTGCAAATCGTTGTGGAAAAATTATTTTCGGTTGTAGGGTTCAATTACAGTCATTTTTGGTGAATAGACATACCCCCGAAATCTTGCGCATTTTCGAGAAAAAAATTCAGTAAGGACGGCACTTTAAACGTTAATAACTTTTTAACGAAGCTTCCATCAACAAATTGGTATTCTTGATTTTCGTCTTATTTTGGCCTCTACTATCGCTCATTAAAATTTTTGCTAGAGGTGGCCGAACACCCTGTATATCGATATCCGTCCGATTCCCGCAATGGCTCTACTATATCCACGTGGATTTGGTCGTTTCGACCATCGGGTGCCACGAACGATGCCGGATTGTTCCGCACGTGGCGCGTGACCTTTGATGTTTGGCACGGAATGCAATTTTTGCACCAGCTCGTCACGTCGCGACACATATTCGGCCATACGTATCTTTGCCGAATTATCCTGTCCGTTACCTTCGCGCTCGGATGTGACAGCGCGTGAAACAAATGGAAAACTTTTTTCCTTAGGGCACTGGGTATGTAAGGGCGCACAGTTTCGCCGGACTGTTCACAGTACAATCGCGTGTGGGCCGGACCCCACATAAGCCGCACGAGTTTGAGAGGATGGTTGACCTCGTCTCGAATCCTCTCCAACTCGTCGTCATTCTCTTGTGCCTGCGCCAGTTCGCACAGTTCAATGTCCGTGGGCAGTCTTATGGACTCTATGCGCGACATTGAATCGGCCACGATGTTGTCGACCCCTGGAAGGAATTCGATCTGGGTCGTAAACTGACTTATATACGACAGCATGCGCACCTGACGCGGATCGGCCTTATCAGCGCGCTGCATAAATGCGTATATAAGCGGTTTATGATCCGTCACGATTTTAAACTCGCGTCCTTCCAGGAAATGCTTAAATTGTTTCACAGCAGAATAAGCTGCTGTCAACTCCCGATCGTAGGTACTGTACCTCTGTTGAGCGGGATTGAATTTTTTTGAATAAAATGCCAGAGGTTTCCACATATCCTCTAGTTTTTGTTCTAACACCGCCCCCATTGCAAATTCGGATGAGTCTGTGACCACCCGCGTCACGGCGTGCCCCGAGGGATGCGCTATCAAGGTCGCGTTTACAAGGCTTTCCTTGACTTTCCGAAAGGACTCTTCGGCCTCTACCGACCAATTAATTTTCGTTTTATCCTTTCGCCGCGACTGCGTAAGGTACGCGTTTAAGGGTGCTTGGAGAGTGGCGGCGTGAGGTATACTTCGTCTATAAAAATTTATTATCCCAAGAAATCGACGCAACTCGACGATTGTCTTGGGTTTATCAAAGTTTTGAATCGCGTCAATTTTTCCGGGTGTCGGTTTGTAACCTTCTCTATTAATTAAATGGCCTAAAAACGTTAGTTTTGGTACCCCGAATTGACACTTTTCGACGTTAATTTTTAAGTGAAACTTGTTAAGTCTCTCAAGGACTGTCCGCGTGTGCGCGATATGTTCTTCCCTCGACGCGGAAGCAATAAGTATGTCGTCTACATATACGAATGCAAATTCCAAGTCGCCGAGGGCGCGATTCATGTACCATTGGAACGTTTGACCGGCGTTACGTAACCCGAACGGCATTGCCAAATATTCGAACAAGCCGAACGGTGTAATCACGGCGGTCTTAGGAACGTCCTCCGGCGCTACCGGGATCTGTTGGTAGGCTTGATGAATATCCAAGCAAGAAAATACTGTTTTTTTGTGTAAATTTACTGAAAAATCGTGAATGTGCGGTAAGGGATGCCTATCCGGAACTGTAATGTTGTTCAACGCGCGATAATCCGCGCACACTCTCCATTCCCCATCTTTTTTGGGGACCCAGCCTCCATCAGATGTCGAAACTCCAGCTTAGCTGCTCTGAGTTTGCCTGGTGCGAGGCGCCTAGCGCGCGAGGCAACCGGATGCCCTTTGGTCTGAATGTAATGGAATACCCCACGTTCCTGTAACGGAACTGCTTGGGATATTCCCGTCACTTCCGAAAATTCGAGTAATATGCCCGCGATTCCCGATGAGCGATCAACGGTGTGCGTCAGGACGTGGTTCACGTTCTTTGTCGTGCACCAAATTTGCAATTTGGTCAGCGCATCTATTATTTTACGCCCTCTCAAGTCCACGGTGATGCCGTAGTGCGTCAACAAATCAGCACCTACGTTCGGGTATGGCACGTCTGCTACGCAAAAATTCCATGTGATCGGTCGTCGTAGACCGATTTCAATGGTGCGCGTCGACTCGCCATACGTGTCGACACGCGTATTGTTCGCGGCATAGAGCCGCAGACCGCTGGCCACGGGCTTGCAATTCCTGGCTACAGGAAAGAGGGAGATGTTTGAACCCGTATCTATTAAAAATATTTGTCCCGAAATTCTGTCCTGGACGTGGAGACGTTTTGAATTTAATACTGACTTACTACCCTCACACCCTATCCCCGCAGGGGAAGGTATCTCTAGTTTTCCGTCCGCGGTGACGGTTTCGGCCACGTACAATTTTCGGGGTCCTTGCACGCGTATGCCTTCGCCCCGAATTTACTATGCGCCCAGCACACCGCGGGGGTTAGCGTCGGAGCCGCTCGACTTCGCTCGCTCGAACGACCGGCAAACCCGCGTTGCCGTGACTTCGACCGCGACATCGCTTCCTCGAGGCGCTCGAAGCTGGCCGACATCTTTAATACCGCGTCGGTCAGTTTGTCGAGCTTCGCCTCCATCGAATCACGGTTCGATCGATCCCTCACATCGATCGATGCGACGACGTGGCTGCTTTGTGCAGTGGACTCGAATATTTTATCTGCAAGTTCCGCGAGATCTTGCAACTTCGCCACTTTTGCCGCTACTAAGATGGTTTTCACCATTTCTGGCATTTGCTCCAAGAAAATAGAGCGCATCACCTCATCGTCGCATCGACCGTCGTCCAGGGCACGCAACCGATATAATATTTGCGACGGTTTCCCTTCTGTTGTAACCTGCCCCGTCAATAATATTGAATGTAGCCTCTACTTGTAAGAACCATAACATCGGATCGTCGCGAAAAAATTTCGGGATCTTGGGGATGCGGTACGAATCGACGCTTCCAAGATGGCCGTCGCTTGTGGCGTTGTTCACCGCCATCTTGATGCCCTTAGCTCACCTTGCTCAAGCTTTTCCTGACGCTCCACGCAGCCCTCTGCTTCCTTTTGCCGCTTGGCCGGAACTCGTTCCCCGTGTCCTGGTCCACGTTATCCTCTGCGCTGCACGCCGAGGTGTCCCCACGATGTAGAACGCTGATCCAGCAACACGTGCGTCCAATGGCGTCAGTTGCACCCTCCTGCTCTGGATCCTCTGGATCCTTGATCTGGCTCATTCAGTTGCTCGACAATTCGACGGTAAAGACTCGTCGGGGTCACCAGTTGTGGGTTACTTCTTATTTAATGCACGTGGTTCGTTTCCACGAATTACATATGTGCGTGCGTTCGTAGGCCCACCCCTACGACCACGGATATGGATATTCAAAATGACTGAACACGTTCTACGTAACAATAACAATAACTAGTAGTACTTTATTAGACGCAAGGCGTATAAGTCTTTGTCGTGAAAAACAGGAGTCTAAATCTTTCTCTTTTTGGTGTGCTTCTTCGCGGAGTTCTCACGAAGCAGTGTCTTGAGCGTCCTTGCTTTTTCGGGAGGACGCGCTTTCGCCCTGCTGCGCTGAGCGCGCAGCCTTACGGCGGATTCGCAACTTGTCGGGAAAATGCTCCCATATATTCTCGTGCTGACGAGACCATAAGTCAATAATTAATTGACATCTTCGAGGCATACTTTCTACTAACTTAATCGCATAATCTTGAGACATTGACCTTCACGTTAATCGAATTTGACGAAACAGTTGTTTAATTGTATTTATCTTCTTTCCCCTAAGCTTGAACTTCAATATTGCCCAAACATTTTCGATTGGATTTGCATCCGGTGACTGTGAAGGCCAATCCAACACATCAATGTGATTTTCTTTTTTCCACGCAGTACAGAGTCGACTTCGGTGTTTTGGGTCGTTGTCCTCTTGTAGTAGCCAGCATTTGTTCTTCCTTATAAACCACCTTTTGGCGGATGTTAACAAAGCTCTCTGATAGATTTTAACCATTTTAGCAGCGTTTAAATTGTCCGTGAATATGTGTAAAGTGCCGAATCCCTGCTTCGAGAAACAACCCCAAACATGCACCTTTACCGGGTGTTTAACGGTCCGATGGATTAGTTTATTGGAGTGGGTACACCAGGTATGGGTTATGGAAGAACGTGCCCAAAATGAAGCTTCGTCGGAAAAAATTACATTGTCCCAATTGCGGCCCAAATTCTCCTTCGCCCAAGCGAGTCTTTTCTCGACATGTTTTTTGGATAGTAACGGTTTCTTTATTGTGCTTCTAAATTTCACATCATTTGCCAATAATCGTCTTCGTATAGTATCACATGATATATTCGAACCCTTCTTACACAAAACTGCTTGTCCACCACGTAAGGATAGACGTGGATTTTTCTCGAATTCCCGTAAAATCAATTTGTCTTCTTTTTTTGACGTCTTTGGCGTAGTGCCCCGATCTGGCAGGTCATCGACATCGAAAAGCCCAGGTTACCTGCTCGAGGTGGAATCCCCCCTCCCCCGGTTCACAGAAAAAAGTTTTGCCATACACGCTGTTGTCAAACAGACTGTACTCTCGATGTGTAACGAGGCGCGGCCTACTACCGCCGGAATACCAGGATGGATACTGGGTGGAGAAAACACCGCCGTGCTTACTAGAGCAAAAACTTTATTATACGCGGAATACTCCGGATCACACACGTGCTTCTTCTCTGGTCGCTGGCACGCAAGAGAGGAGAAAGTTCTCCGCTCGCACGCGGCTAGTTGCACGACGCTAGCGCCGCGGCAAACGCGGGGACGCGTGTAGTCCCTACACACTCTTCCCCAAAGAAAGAGCGGAAGCGAATAACATTCAATGCTTAAGGACTACATCAATTACAAACTACTACTACGTACTATGGCTTAACCCTTTTAGTACCGGCGAAAAGAACGTGCCTAAGCGAAGAATACCGGGCCGAATCGGCGAATTTGCAGAGGTTTGCGAAAATGCTCGTAAAAACGAAAGTAGAAGTGATATTTACAAAATATAAAAAGCAGCATATTCGGAAATAAATTGAGAATAAAACGATACGAATTGTGTTTCATTATTTGTTGAAAATCATAAGAATAACATGAACATAAGACGTAACAAAAATCGTACAAAAGTGATTTCTCTTTTTCAAATGGTAATTGCACATAAAAAAAGTCATCATTTGGTCATAGCTGTATATACATCTTTTAGTATAATGTATAGACATTGCATTTTGCAATCATTTGCAATACAATAACAGAAGTCGGATAATAAAACGGAAGGATAACGCTATGATGCACGGCAAGCGTCAGACAGATCTACTACACAAGTGGATCGTGCAGCTGGTAATACGTCACTAAAAAAAATATAAGTGTTATTATAGATATTTATAGTTAGTTTTCTGGCCACTAAAAATATGTAATATTTCCTTACTTTTACTTACACAAGCAATTTATTAGCATTGATGCTTACTAATGCATATACCATGCAACCCTTTATTGCAATTATTACAAATTGTGCGCGATCTTCGCACAGGCCCACCATCCACCCTACTGCAAACTACGCAAACCTTTTCCCTTCTTCCAGGAAGTTTGCGGATACCTGGGACTGTTGAATCCCTCGATGTGTGACCCAATGAACTTTCTGGATTCACATTTTTTTCCGCCATCCATTCTGTTGTGATCGACTGAATGATACTGGTTATAAATTCGAGTCGAGTTATAACCTTTCCTTCTCTGTTGTGTTGGTATAATATGTATGCATTCAAGACCATGCGAGCAAAAATGGAAAATACCACTTTCTTCCAGTATTTCACTGTTCTCCTCTCATCCAAATATGAGTAGATCATCATATCTGAGACATCAATGCCTCCCATATATTTATTGTAGTCGTGGATGAGTGCTGGTTTTTGAACTTCCCTTTCCTGATTTCGTCTTCGAATTACAGTCGTTTTATTTGCGGCTGTTCCATGCGTTGATAACAGTAGTACATTTTTTTTCTGTGACTTCTTTTCTCTGTACGCTAATAGAAGTATTTCCCGATTTCTTTGGTACTTATATTCGCCCACTTCCAATTTTGATTTGAGCTGCGATGGAATATGTTTTCTATTACTGCGTATTGTTCCGGATAAAAATGTATTCTTCTCAAACAGAGATCTTGCTAAGGCAATGCTGGTAAAAAAATTGTCGACAGTTATGTGGTATCCTTTCATAAAGTAGTTACTCATACTGAGTAATTTATCTATTACTACTTGAGCGAGGCCTTTTTCTTTTATTTCTCTCTTGTCCCGTTGGTCCTTGGCTCCCCGATAGCAAAAGAATGACAGACAATAATGGGAGATCCCATCGGCTAGCATCCAAAATTTTATGCCCCATTTGTGGTGCTTCTTATTTGGCAAATACTGGGTGAGTGCTGATCTGCTTTTTGTTCCTACTAATGATTCGTCCACGTTCAAGTGCTGGTGTGGTGAATAATGAAATTTGAATATTCTATTTGCATGAGCAACGACAGGTTCAAACTTTGCTGTTGGGTCGTATTCACTGTTATCTCGTGCTGGTAATGTGCTATTGTCCACGGTATGAAAAAATTTACAAAGCAACTGGAATCTATTCCGGCTAAACATTTGGCCAAACCATGGGATGTGTCGATGATTTTGTGACCAGTAACTAAAAATTGTTGGCCTACGGGTTATTCCCATTTCGAGTAAAACGGCTATAAAAGCTCTCAACTCTTTGATTGTTGTTTTCTTCCAGGTCAGTGTTGTGGATGTATTTGCTGCTCCAGCATTCTCGAAAAACTGTTGTGCATACCGATTTGTTTCAATTCTCAACATGTCCAGAAATTCTAGTGTAAAAAATAAATTGAAATACTCTATTGGTTTCGATATGTTCGGTGGCATATGTTTAGGGCCAGTCATTTCCAAAAATTGTGGGCGCGGGTTATATTGGATATCGTTTTCCACATTTACTGCTCTGAAATTCGTCAGAGATTCGTCACTATCACTCTCGTTATCTTCATCTTGCGATTCTTCTTCGCCAGACTCACTGTCGCTATATATTCTGCGATGACACCGACGGCTTGGCGCAAATAATTGCTCATCCTCATCACTGTCACCATGTTCTTCAGTTACATCCAACTCGTCAATAATTCGCACTAATTCTGCGTCATCCATGTTCGTAACAGGGTATAATTTTTTCAAAAAGGTATCAACAAAACTGACAAAATTTTCTACTGCTAATTGTGTCTCTATGAAAACTTTGACGGTTTTTGAATACTGACTGCACGTTAGAAGGATCAAGAAAGACTGAAAAAGATTTTAGGCTTGCCGAGTCGATGCACGCATGCCACCTGAATACTCCGATAACTATCATAAACATCATAAAGATTGCGATTACGGTCCAGAGAAACTATCCCGGGTCCCGTTTCTATCTTATCGTTCTAACATATACAGGCCCGCGGCACTAATCAGCATAAAATATAACAAAAAGTTAAATCTAATAACCATTTTTTCACTTGTGTTGCATCGAATATGAACCATTTTAACATTTTATAAAGTTATTTTGAAACACAGACCTCTTGTGATGAGTACAATAAGGCCCCAACAAAGGCGCAACGATATATCGTCGTTGGTATTTTTGGCAACTGCACCGAACGACGATATATCGTCGTTCGGTACTAAAAAGATTAAGAACTATGTGTACATTACGCAAAACCTAATCTAAGGCGAAGGGTCTGCAAAGGTGACATTTTTGCGCGCATAGGTGCGTAGAGGCACACTCGGCAACGGTGGAACGCCGCTCGATGCTGGGGCTGCAAGCCCCTCACAAACGCTATGCGCGGGTTTCAACAGCTCGACGGAGACGCTGCGCGGTGAACCGTTGATCTCGATTGAGTACACCTGCTCGGAGACACGCTGGAGCACCCGATGGGGACCCGTGTAAGGCCGCTCTAAAGGCCTTCGCACGGATTTTACGAGCATGAACACATGCGAACAGGATCCGAGGTCCTTGTACACAAAGGTCTTAACGCTGCGCTTGTGTGCTACGGGCACAGGCTTGACGGCACGCATGTACTGACGAAACTCCTCGAGGAACGGCTCCGGCTCGGGGCTAAAACTATCCAATAAGAAAAATTCGCCCGGCAGGCGTAACGAGGTTCCGTACACGTAATCGGCGGGGGAAGCGTTGGTATCGAGACGGATATGCGTACGTAACCCTAACAACAC